TCCATCGCGCAGCAGCAGGTGTAGCCAAAGCAAACCATCGCTTGCTCTCAGCAAGAGCTCCGAGACTGACTGCGAAAAGAGAAGGATAGTTCATAGGAGCGATGCAGGAACGGTTGTTGCAAAGCGTGGAGTAAGCCGGAGGCAAGGCCTTCTTACTGACCGACTATTAACTGATGCCAACCCCAGCAGTGCTGGAGACGGGGGAGGTTCAATAATCTGAGGCGTCCCACCACATAACAGTTTAGTAAGTGATCTTGCAGGAGTTCCTGCCAAATAATTGCGATACGGGGGATATTGTTCGTGATTCCGACTCTTTCAAAATGCAACAAGAAAAACTGAAAGAACCGAAAGACATGGAACTTGATCCTTGATACCAGGAGACGCATAGAGACGTATTTTGAGAAAATGCGCAATACGCACTCAAAGGACGAGCCATAAAACAAAGTTCATAACTGTGACTTATCTGTAGCGGTTACAAGACAGCTCAGAATAATTTTGCGCTTTTGCCAGATGATTTCCTACAACAAGTCAACACAACGACAAAGAGAACAAACGCTCTTTCGAGAAAGATACGGTACGAATGCGAACTACGAGGATGCGATACGGTACTATATTGGAAGTATCAAGGGGTGCGCAAAGGCTTTGACATCCTCCTTTGTTGACACGATAAGGATGATGGAGTCAAGATTTATTCAAAAATTCCAGCGGCCCAGATGTGCTGGTGTTGCCGATTGATAATAGATGCAACGAAGAGGGTCGAAGGGACGTCGAGGACATGAAAAGGTCTTGGCGTGCACAGACCTGTGTTCTTTCTGTTCGGCTGATCACGTGGATGGATAGATGTCGGCAGCGAGGCCGAAAAGGCCTACTAGTATTGACGAACTGCAAACGCAAGGGTGAGTTTGACCTAGAAGGAATCAGGTAGAAAATAACCACCCAGTGAACATTGCATGTACTCATTGCGGAAGTGAGTATAATGGAGAGTTGGGTGATGTGAAGAAAGATCTTGTAGTTTTAGGTAGCGGCCGCAGAAAGGCACGGGAGAGTAGCATGACATCAACAACTGGTTGTTCGGTTCAGTGGGTGAGTTCTCGTCTTGGGACTCTTCAGTAGCGTTTCAGGTCAGGCTTCCAGAACAGAGCTTCATTTTGAAACTCGTCCAACTAGACCTGCCTCCTCTCGAAAAGACCTGGAATAGAGCATCATCTGTGAGTACCAAATAGAAGAACCACTCCCACGCTTTTGACTTATAACCCGGACAGGTCCAAATCGCGCTCCCGGAGAACCAGTCGAGGATACAGTTGCACCTGGCATTGGATAGCTAGTAGCAAACATTGGTCTAGCAAAGCCAGCAAGAGTCTCGCATATGATTCAACCGAGGGCAAGACGGAATGTACGAGCACATATTGGCAGAGTGCTGGAAATAGTGCCCTCCAGGGCATATGACTAAATGAAGGTCAGCATCTGACAGAAATAGAATCAGAGAAAGAACAAAATGATGAGGCAAGCTTTATCAAGTAATTTGAATCCAAAAACGCCAAGTAAAAACTATAGATTATTTTAAGTAATGGGAAGAAAATAGGTGTTTGCCAAAGTTTTTTCCATCAGAAGTACGCGGTGTGTCACAGCAAAGGCGAATCGCGCCTATCTCACTCTTCTTGGGAAATTGTTGGCCTTTTTGTTCGCGGTCGAAGGGATCCAAAGTTAGCAAACCATTGGTCAGACATGAAACCAGTTTCATTTTTGGCGTGCGGTGTTGTGGAAGAGAGTGATTTCAGAGCAGCAAGTTGATGTCAAAGCGATTGGGGACGATTGGGGCCCACGGTTCACGCGCCGTTGCAGCGCTTACGATGGCGCGAGATTACCGCAGTGTGTTCACTTGGCAGGAGTGGCATGTTCCAGGCATTCCAATTCCCCTCGCTGCCCTGTCTTGGCGTGCGGCATAACTGTCTGCCAGTTCGTCCACTCCCTGTCTTCTAACTTAACCCTCCACTCCATCTTTCGGGTGCTTGCGTTACCTCTGTCTGTCACCAACTGCCCACGCTCCGTCTCTCCTTAACACCCCTCCATTTCCCCAATTCTCCCTTTCGCTGATTCCCGTTTCCCCACCGCCATTGTTTTTCCCCATCGTCGAGCTCGCCCCGGCCGTCCCGCATCATACATCACCTAGCTCTCCCGCTTCTGACCTCACCAATCTGCCTGCTTCTTTCCATTACGCCGCACTTCTGAGACACTCCCCCTCCTATACCTTCACATCTGCTCCCTTGAGGTTCACAACACTACAATGAACGTCAACAAGAAACTTGGCCGCTTCAAGCAATGGGCGGGAGAGAAGATGGGTGCTGAGGCCAAGACGGGTACCTCTGAGGAGTTCAAGGCGCTCGAACTGGAGATGAACCTGAGGCATGAAGGTATGCAGTCCCCCCTCATTCGGGTGAGTTGCTCAGCATCCTAAAAACAGTATAGGAATGGAGAAGATGCAACGGTCCATGAACGTTTATGTCAAATCCCTCTCCAAGCGTGCTGAAGGAGAGGATCGGGAGAAGACACTCCCTGGAGGATACATGGGTTCTACCATGGTCCAGCACAGCGAGGACTTCGAACCAGACTCCGAGTTTGGCAATTGCCTGTCGGGTGGGTATTATTACCGTGCCTATGCGGCCGTTATACTAACCTGAACTAGCTCTTGGAAGAGCAAACGAGCGGTTGGCCCGCGTTCAGGAAACGTATGTGTCCAATGCTACAAACACCTGGCTTGAAGGACTTGAACGTTCTGTAGCTCAGATGAAGGAGTACCAAGTAAGCACCATCTGGTGAGAACAGAACGCGAGGAGCTAACATTACGCAGGCAGCCCGCAAGAAGCTTGATCAACGCCGATTAGCATACGACACCTCCCTTACCAAGATGGCAAAAGTCAAGAAGGAAGACTTCAGAGTCGAGGAGGAACTTCGATCACAAAAAGCGAAATACGAGGAATCAAGTGAAGATGTCTATCGGCGAATGCAAGATATAAAGGAGGCCGAAGTGGACATGGTCGCAGATCTCACCGCTTTCCTAGAAGCGGAGTTGACTTACTACGATCGATGCCGCGAAGTACTTCTTAATGTGAAACGCGACTGGCCGGCAAGGTAAGAGGCATAGCATCGTCATAGTCGTATCTCCGAAACGTGCGGCTAATTCAACTCGTACAGAGACGCTCGTCGTCCCAGTCGTTCCCGATCCAATACCGCTCATGGCTATAACGAACGGTTCAATCCTGTCGAAGAAGAGCCCATGCCCGAACAGCCACGAATCACCATCCCTCGTCTATCGTCGCGTAATCTTTCCCCATCTTCCCATGATTCCTACTCGCCCAGTGGATATTCACAACGTCCCGCAGCTACGCGTTCTTCCACCTTCGAGGGCCCTTCTCGTCTCCAGCGTGAAGTCTCTCCAGCTCCCCGACTCACCCGTGTGCCAACAGACTCGTCTGTTATAAGCAACAGTCGGGCCAATCTTCGTCCCGTCCGCTCAGCAACAAACACATTTGCCGACCAGTATGAGGATGAATACCCGGATCACAACGGTTATAGGCGAGACAGGTCGCCGCATAGTCCTGATACCAGCCAAGGAAGCGCCCTTTCTCGAACTGCGAGCTGGAATGCACAGGAAATCAGCCCCTCGGGCAAGAAAGCTCCTCCACCCCCCCCTCCGTCGAGATCAAAGAAGCCTCCACCACCACCGCCGCCAATGAAGAGAAGTGCGTTGAGTGCCTCCGAGCCCTCACATTATTAACCCCCACATATCAATTTTCTCGTCATCTGCACTGGCTAACTCTCGCCGTTGTGTAGTGTCGAGAGTTATTACTTATTAATGAGCAATACTGCAGATACCCTCGACTTCGAACTCGGATCAAATAGACCTCAGCTCGAAACAAAACTCCTTGCAGTGCCGAACTTCCGCCGCCTTGTTCTTGATGGCTCATTCTATTACTCTCGCCGCATCAATACATCATGTGTATTGTCTCATGGTGCCTCAACATATTGTCTTGGCATCCTCAAAATCAGGCTCCTTTTCTGTCAAACTCAGAACGTTTTCCAAAGAAATTTCTCTACTCGGCTGTATTCTTTATGTACCTTGTTTCTATTTCCCAAATTTCCCAACAGGCGGCTGCAGTGCCGTCGAGGGACTTTACAGAGCTAGGAGCCGAGGCCGGTCGAGCAACACTTACCATGGTATTGTCTTGCTGAGTCTTGCTCTGGGCCTTTCAATGGCGTTTTATTGGATGGGTTTGAGGAGGGTTTAATTCATTGGGAGGCATGGGGTGGGTTAGAACGGCTTTCGATAGGGTTGGGTAGGGGCATTTTTGTACGAGTGTATGAATGTATTTGTGCCAAATTTGATCCCATTCTGAAATTTCTGTATTACAGTGTGACGGGTGGATGATACTGAGTGCTTGTAGACAACGCACTTCTCAACATTGATTGACGTATGTAAGAGCTGGGATTTCGCCTTACCATAAATGCATATTGTGTGCTAGGCAGGGTAAAGATACATGCCGTTAGGTAGTCTTGTACATTTGTATTTCACTTTGGCACTCCTTTTACTCTAGGATGTGGAACATTAAATTCAAGGGAATAGTTTCTAATCCACCAGACATGTGAGTCTTAGAGTTATTTTTATTTTAATTATTCAGTAGATTGTTTTCCACATGAAACAAGGTAAGGTCTCAGATTCTCATGTGAGTTCGTGTTGGAATTGGAGGTTGGTGGATTTATGTTTAGTGGAATCAGAGAGTAGTTTATGACACAAAAGATTTCGTAGAAGAGTACAGCTTCCGTTTCTTGAGTGATATCTATTGTACAGCGATTACTTTGTCATCCTTGATGTTAGTAAGCTCCTGTTCTAACGTTTTCGCCTAAACATAATCCGTCACTCTCCTAGCCCCTTTCCCCCCACATTATTTTAAAACTTTATAAATTAAATTTTTATTAATTATAGGACAGTCCTTGTTAAGCCGGGCTGGGTGGTGTAGTTGGTTATCACGTTTGTCTAACACGTCATTGTGTGCACAAAAGGTCCCGAGTTCAAGTCTCGGCCGAGTCAGCTGCTTTTTTTTGGACTTCTATGGCTCATCCCGTGTGAGTCTTTGATGTATTTCTCTTTTTGCTCATATAACTGGCGTTAATGGTGCAGAAATATAGCCTGCAAGATTGGGTAGTGGTTGTACTGGGTTGATGGATGAGTTGCTTGTCCTTTTGAGGCAGATTTTTTTAACCTTAGGTTTTGCGTTAGAAGAGTAGGTAATATATTTGTGAGACACTTCTGTATCTATAATGCGTTTTGGGGGCTTGGATCTTATATAGTTGGGAACGTAGGGAAGGAAGTAGAATGAAAGTGTTTCGACGATCGAGGGAAATGGTGGATAGTAACGCTAAAAGGAGATTTTAACGGAGTGGCAGACGTGGTTGGGGAAGAATGCGCTCTTAGACCTTTATCGCCTTTCTAGCCTGAGGAGTTCTCTCCTATTGGAGAAAGAGTTATATGATGATATCGTGAGATACAAATTCGTATGAGTTTACGGATTCTCTCGTAGCAACTTCAGAGACGTTGAGGTTCTAGACCGGAGACGCCCGAGGAGGTAGAACTTCTCTGCATCAACTCGAAAGGGAAGATATATGAGCTTTGGAACATTTTACATCCATACAAATCTAAGTTAGGAATTCACAGCACCTATCAGCCCTACTGGAGGGACCACACATCGCTATCTATCCCTCTCTTAATAGCTTTTCCTTGGTGATTCTATCCAGCCTCGCTAATCAAGCAACATTCTAAATTTATCCAACATTGAAGCGGCCGTAACGACCTGTAACAGTCTACACAGTCTATAATGAGAGCCTAGTATAAAAGAGAATTATCCAATAATTCCTTGATCAAGCAATCTGCAAAAAGCCGTCGATCGCTCAGCAACCCCGTAACAATCCCTAACAATATAGAAGGGGAATCTCTAGCGCGATAGTATGGACACACAACGAAGGTATATATTATACCAATACTCCCTCCTTTCCTAGTCAGGAACTTTCTTGACAGGCGTCAGACATTGAGCAGTCCGTAACGGAACGAAAATAATCCGCATACTCGTCACCAGGAACAACAACTCTGTCCAGCCCAATAGATAAAAGAGGGAGGTTCAATCTCCTGATAGGCAATTCACCAGAAGTGCCGAACACTAGGAGTGCCTGTAAGCGGGTGTAATGAAAATTGTAGCTGTGCCAATCGTAGACAATAGTGTAATTAAACAAAAGGGATATTGTTTCCGGATTAGTCAACTCCATAAACAATGCCAATAGCTGAGGCGATCCGTTACAGGTCTGTAACTGTGACATTCCTATACGATGGTGAATAGATATAGAACGTGATACCGACTCTTCCTGATTAGGCAACTTTATAAAGGTATTGAATGCTGCGGGAGTCTGTAAAGGGCTGTAACAGCCTGGGAAAATCGGGGCCGCTCAGTCCTCGGAGTTGTATTGACAGGGCTGTATTTCCTGATCCATCATATCAGCTCCTCAGGGGTCTGAGAGAAGACCGAGCAGTAGTAGAGTAAGAAACCAAAGCCGCCGTGGAACCGGACTTCAACTGAGAGAAAGTAATAGAGCGATCTTTGAAGACAGATAGGTAACTAAATGTGCAATTGAAGAACAGTGGAATGAGATTCATGTTTTCTGTTTCTCCTTTTCGGCCCCGTCCTGGTATACGCAAAACGCCGTAGATGATCCGAGAAGTGAAGCCTAGTAAATACAAACTTCGAACATGTCCTTCACAACATGCCTGACCCAGAATTCCGAGAATCGGATTGGAAGGGCCAGGTTTCCTGGGAAGACGGTTAGATTATGTTCCGGTCGGTTTTTGTGTTCACGCCGCTATGCCGTAACGAGTAAGAGATATATTTAATGAAGTAGAGAGAGGTGGAAACAGAAATTCGGATTAAGATCAGGACGAGACCACATCATAGAAACAGAGAATTGACCGGCGAAGTAGATTTGAACCAGAACAAATGGAATGAAATTGTGAAGGCAAACATCTTAGCGTGATACATAATAATTCGAGAGGGGTTCGGACAAGAGTAAGAAGTCCGATCAAAACTTCACATGGGTAGACGAAAGAAATTCTCTAAGGCCGAACGTACCCACTGCTGCTGCTGCGGTTGCCCCATCCCATTTCCAGTTCTATTTCCCTGACCATTCGCGCCTGGATCATTTCTACTCATCTCCACGTTAACACTGACTGTCGAAGGCATTCCAACGCCGTCCATCCAGTCATTTTGATTCTGGTTCTCGACAGAGGTAGGGTCAACAGGGATGAATATAGAGCCGGAGTCGTTTTTTGAGAAGAAGTCTTCGAAAGACTGGGACTCATTGCTGGCTGACGGATTCCCTAGAGTCTGAAGAAGCGTATCTAGGTCAAGGTTCAGAGGGTTGTTGTTGTTGAAAGCCATTTGTGCCGGTGATGTGAGGTCCGGTGTCTGGTTCGGATTCCCCATGTTCTGTTGCTGGAACATCGAGTGCTGCCTCTGTCGATGTTGTTGTTGTTGGTAGTGCTGTTGCTGCTGTACCTGTTGCTGCATCTGCTGTTGGCTTTGCTGTTGTTGGAGTAACTGCTGTCCTACACCCTTCCGCCTGTCCACCCCCTTCATGACATAGTACCCCTCCAAATTTTCCTTAACTGTCCATAGCAGGTCTCCACATCTTTCCCTTACGCCAACTCCATAACAATGTCCGAAAATATGATCGATAATGGTCATCATCCTCTCCCTACGAGGCAAATCCGGCGTCCGGTACAACTCGGTCAACAGCAACAATACCGCATGATATTGCTGGTACGTACTCGAGTACCATTGCCACGCATGCAAATTCGGCAGCGTTTCCAGTGTCGCGCCGATTTCCAAGGTAGTGAGGCCGGCCGTGAGAAGCACATCGCGAAGGCGCGATTCGGATTCGGAGCGTGGTTGAAGGGTGCTGGGTGTTTGGGGAAGGTGGCGGTAGAGCAGCATAGAGTCACAGCGCGCCATCAGGAGCGTCGCCACCAATCCCGCATATCGCTGAATGGGGACTTGTGCGTCCAGAAATCGCAGGTATTTGGCGTGGATTTGCCGTTTTCGGGCTTCCACTCTAGCGCGCAAGTCATGGAGGGTGATCGATTTCCGGTCCATTTCGATGCGGCCGCGGAAGATAAGGCGGTGCATCTCGTTGCATTCGTAGCGAATCAGAGATAGGGTTACGTCGGTGAAGCCTTGGGTGCTGATGGGATGGTGTTGCCATTTCGGGGTCCCAAACTCGAAGACATCATCATCTACATTCAAGGGGAGAGGGATGTCGAAGTCGTCCGAACGGATGGACGGGTGCGGGCCTTGCGCTTCGGCGGTTTTGAAGTCCAAGAAGCAGATCTGATACCAGAGGAGAGAGCGGACATGGCGTTGGAGTGGGGTAAGCGTGTGCGAGGAGTTGTGAGTTACACGGTGGATGCCGATACATTGGGCTAGCCGGACGAGTGCGCCGACGACGACGGAGGTTGCGCGAGATATTTGGGCGCGGCAGAGGGGAATCTGGAGCGATTTAGTATATGGGTGTAAAAGTGAAACAGGGGTTCATACTAGGTATATCGTAAGAGCTTGAAGGGTACGAATGTTGGACGTCTTCGACCAATTGGCCCGAAGCAAAGCGCATTCCGTCGCACTTTGAAGCCTTTGGAACAGGCCTTCTCGAGTAATGCCAAATTGCGCTTTCGCTTGAAGTGGGGAAAACGTTGCAGCTGCTGCCATGCATACTGAGAGCACAAGAGCAGTACTGGAGCTCTGGTTGGAGTTCCCCAGTTCGATATTCATCCAAAAGCGATCGAATATACGCTTGAAGGACGGAGTATGCAGTACATGGGCAAGTGGACTGACAGATTCAAGGTATCGCTGGTAGAGCGCTTCGGCTTCTAACCTTGTGGGTAGCTGGAGGGTCTCCAGGCCTTTACTTTGAGATACTGAGGAAGCACCCAAAAGAAGATTCAAAGAAGGTGACAAGGAGGGTAGATTCTCCGCTGAGAGGAGAGAAGACGATTGTGGAACCCTCTGGCCCGCAACCGATGAAGAGGTTGTAGGATGCTCTGATAGAAGCTTTCCAAGCTCTTCAGCATACTGTGGACGAAAAAATCCAGTGATGTTCTCACTGATAATCATCCTTCCGATACGAATCGTAAGATCGGTCGCAATGCGATCCTCATCCTCATCTTCGTCCTCATACACATCGTCATGCGTCTCTTCCGGTTCAGCAGGCAGTTTCTCCCATATATCATCATCGACCTCGACATGCTGCTGATACGCCTCCCATTCGTAGTCACGTGGGGGAGTACCGGGGGTGGTGGTAGTCCCGACTGTATTGGCATTTTCAGGCTGTGTAGACTGCGTTCGCAGAGGGAGCGGTTGAGTCCAGTCGGTATTCGGTTTAGAGGATGATTCCCTTTGCTTTTTCCGTGAAGCTGATTCAGGAACCGTTATGAAGACGCATTCTCTACCAAATGCCGTGCAATTTTGGCATGGGTGGGTTTTCGAGCATCGGCTCTTCCGAGTCCGACATTCGACGCATGAGTTGATGGGTCTAGGGTTGCGCCGGCGAACAACCCTCGATTGTAGGGCTTGATCCGGCATACTTCAAAGCCATTCTCAAGCCATTGTCGAGTTTTCGAAGCGTTGCGACGGAATTTAGTAGAAGCGGAGGCCAGGTCGAAGTTGGAAGAGAGTGCGGGACACCGGTCCGTGGGGAAATCGGAGACCCTTAAAAGTAGATCCCACGTGACCTATGCGCTATTTTAGACCCCCTTCAGCCCTGCGATCTGGACAGGAACGAGCCTAGCGGAACGGAATCGCCCACCTGAAACCAAGTTGAATGAAAATTTTCAAGCAATTGATGGTATTTATATATATTTAAGCTTTCGGCCGCTAAACAAACACCAGTAAGAGCGGCGAAGAGTCTTCAGTCGAGATAAGCTATGATTGCTTCCATCAATTACCAACAGCTATCCACGCGTCATGTAAAGCTATTTCAGAAAGATGTCTCATT